GCGTTGGATCTCAGAAGGGTTAGCGCAGCCCTGCACAAAACCTGGACCAACACCCTTCTGAGACGGGGTAACCATTCAGTCATCGACTGATAGGCACTACCTTAACTCCGTTGCCGTTTGGCGTCCGTGCGCAGGGCTAAAATAGGAGAGAGAAACAAGCTGGTGAATCTTGTAATTGTGGGTGCGCAGAAGAAGAAGAAGAGGGAGACAGAGAGAGAGGGACGCAAGCAAACCGAGAAATATAGATGAGAATGAGATAGAAGGGCAGGTGGTGAAGGGATAAAGAGAAAGAGAGGGGGAGGAGGGAAAGTAAACGAGAAAGAGATAGGAAGAGCGAAAGGAATGTTAGGGAAGAGCGAAAGAACCAAAAAGAACGAGAACGAGAACACGTGCCCCACACACACAGACACAGCACAACGCAACGCGAAATAACATGAACGTGTCATAGCATAGCATAGCATATCGTAGCATTTTGTCTATAGGCATTGTAAGACTTGTGCTATTATTCAAATAGCGCTTTTTATAACCCATACGCTAAGCATTTTACCTCACACAGATTGGGAGTGCATACTGGTTTGCCGACTTCCTACAAGTACGCCCAGGCCGTTTTATTATATACTATTTGCTGGCCTTTGTAAGTATGATTACTGGAGTTTGTACTTTAACATAGGCACGCACTTCTCACAGCAGTATGTTATCCCAGAGGAGGGGTTTTAAACATGGGGTAGTATTTCACATGTCATGGGAAAGTGACGCGTCTGTGATCACCCTCTCAGTCAAATGCAAGACAGTGAGTTATGTAAATTTTCCCCGTGATCTCACCACTAAGATAAATAGGCAGTTTTCCATCAAATCTCGCCCGAGTGGACCCTCGCTAATGTGTTGTGAAATGAGCTGGAAGCTAACTGATGCGGCATTTCACCCCCCCTCGACAAGGAAACTCTCGATGTGAGAAATCCTATAACTTTTCCCAGCATTTCCTCGCACACTCACAGAGGAACTTACCTATAGGTGGCGGACAAGCATCTCTAATCCGCAATGGCATGACTATGGTTTGTTGTTTCAATGTTAGAGTGGGAATCTCTATCGTCCCCGTTATCGTCACCAAAAACCAGTCACTGGTATCCGCCGCGCCATTTGCTGTAGCCAGCTCGCTGACGTGAAATGAAATGGGAGGAAGCTCATTGATGCGGCATTCCACGCCCTCTCCCCCTCGACCCGGGGACTGCTCTCATCATCTCGGAACAGCTCTTCCGTAACCCGGGTTTCGCCCTA